ATCTCCCATTACCTCCAAGAAATGCACCCCTGCCATCTGTGCGAGCTCGAACAAGAAATCATGCCTCTTCCATTTTCTCAAGCGTGTTGTCAATTTCATAAAATGGCACTGTTAAAGAGGTTTGCTTCTTGTCACTGGAAACCATAGTTGTGGTTCCATCCCCAGAGACTGAAAGGCTAATGGAAGTTTTGCTTAAACTTTTTTTCTCTCTCCTGTCAGTTACAGCTGTACTTACAAGTTCTGATTTAAGATTAAGTAGTGCATGCCACTGCGAACTGCTCATGCAGTGGCTTATTTTAATGCTGTCTGGTTATCGAACGTTATGTAGCACTTGGTAATTACTTCCCATGTGTTTTGACAATCAGGGCTCACGGGGCAGATTTTGGCTGCGACAAGCTAATTTTTCTCAGTCTGTGGGCCACCCACACTGCTCGATTGATTTAATGTCTGCTAATGGGCTCAGCCACTTCTCCTAAACTTTACTCTGCTGCTCACCACCGTAGTGCAAAATCGGTAAGCAACTCGTACTTTGCTGCATTATTACAGAAAAGCTGTAATCGGTGAAAGTCATAACACATTTCTATGCAGGGGTGCCGCATCATGGATGTTGCGGACGAAAATTAATTCAAGAGTTCCCACTTAGATACTGCTTGACTATTTAAGCTAGTTTGGCGTGCTGTCCCAGGAGAGAACCCTGAGCTCGGTGATAGATGAGCCCAAGGCTCCCGCCTGGTCAATAAGCATTAAGAGGGATATGAGATCACGGGGGTATTCCAGAAAGCTGGTTTAACTTACCATCTGCTAAACCCTAAACTCTCGGTTGATTTACCCAAAACCTGCTTACCGCGAGTATGTTGGTTCCAAAACAGGTGATAAGAGTTAGTTAAATCAACCTCCTGAAGATAACCGCCTGTTAATGCGCGTGCACGGCCCACACCTGAAGGCATTTTCAGTAGATTGCCGAATTCACGAGTCACCATAGAAAATCCCGGTGAGAAAAAAAGAGCAGCGCACTTTACAGAGGTAGAGCTGGAGGTTTTAAACACAGAGATCTGCTTCAACGAAGGAAAGAAATATAGAATAAGAAATAGATAAGAAAAGAAAAAAATAAATAATAAGAAAGTTTGTTAGTTCATTAAATTACACATGCCACCCTCCATTTTATTCATTGTAATGAACAATTAAACTTCTCTTTAACATCCTTTTGAGTATGTTGTGTAACCATTCATGCATTTATTTTTATTGCCATTAATTTCTTAAGGCCACAATATGTGTATTGACTAATAAGGCTTATAGAAATTGTAATCTTTTTTGGAGCTAGACTCTGCAAACTCTGGAACATAGCAACTTACTCTCTGAAGATAACCTGCTCCGGAGCAGGTTATCTTCAGAGAGTAAGTTGCTATGGCTTCTTTACATACCCAGAAATTACCTCCGATTTTGGAACCAAAGCTGAGGTTATCTACCTACTTACTCTCAAACCGGGTATGTCACATAACCTGCTTTCTGGAACAGCCCCCAGGTAGTTCTCGATAGCTCCCCAAATAAATCAGTATTGGCGCTAATTTGTAGTATGTGCTTGTGACTTTAACTTTTGCATAGTTTTTGAGTGTGGGAGGAAACCGGAGTACCCGGGGAAAACCCATGCGAACACGGGGAGAACATGCAAACTCCGCACAGAGAGTATCGGTTGGCTCAGCTAGTGTTTGAACCAATGACCTCCTTGCTGTGGGGCAACAGTGCTAGCCACCAAGCCACCGTGTCGCCCGAACTGAGGAGGAGGGAGAAGGGAAGGATGGGGGGTTTTCCAAAAACAAAGATGAGGAATGAAGTTTAGGCTGTATATTTATATTGAATTTAGAGTGATCCGATTGGCTAGTTAGTGATTAGTGATAGGGATCAGCTGTAGTCAATTCTATCACGTGCTCCTCTCGAAATTAGTTTGGGAAACTTCACGAGGGGGTTTGGGGGAATTAGTATCTTTGTTGGCTCTTACTTAGAATCATCCTAACTTTTCCCCCTAGCGGCGCTCTTGCCTCTATGCCTAAGGTGTTTTGTGATTAATAAAATGTTCCAAGATGTCTAGGGATATCCATGTTTCTGGGCTTTCTCCAGTCATGCCAACTTAATACACCTCAGAGCTTGATCACTGACAAAATTAAAACACAGCAATGTATGAGTTGCTTACTGACTTTGCAGTCTGGTGTAGTTAACCAGAGAAATGTTTCCAGTGATTTTATACACTGCATTGCTTTCAAAATGCTTAGCCTAGCAGGTTCTTTTATAAATTCGAGCAGTGCAATTCAATGTTCCTTTCACTCAAATATCATTGAAAGTTTAGTGTATTTAAGAACAACAAGGTGAACACAAAATTTGATTGATTTGAGATTGTCTTAAAGGTTCAATATGTTGGATTTTACCTTGTCACCCGCTCTAGTTTACACGTGCCACTTTTTTTTTTTTTACCTCGCATATTCTTTTTCTTGAGTTGAGTTATTGAGCAAATTGATTGCACATTCTACATCATTCCCTCTGGCCACTCTTTAGTGAAATTGAAGCAAAACTCCTTCCATACACTTGATTTTAAAAGTGCAGTATGTAAGATTGACACTCAGTGGTTGAACTAGGTATTGCACTCCTAATTCAAAACACTTCTTCACCCGGCCCCTCCTTCGAAGATTCCAAGAATGCTTAGGTTGCCAGATTGCAGCACCAATAGGAACTGGCATGCCTGATTAGTGAGCCTACACTACACGCAATGAACAGAAGTTTTTGTCTAAACTATCACCTGAAATTTCTATTTTAGAAATGGGTTTCTGAACAGCAGCATAACGGTCACCTCAGGTACTGATTATGGGATATCTTTTGGATTTATGTGAATCTTGTTGCATTAAGACATTGTTACAGGGTATGCTGCTCAGCTAATGTTTACATTACTAATAATTATTTTAATTGCTAATTAAAAGCCACATCATTGTGTTTTTTATTACTCTGAATATGCTTCTTATTCCAGAGGCTTCTACTGTCCTGTCCTACCCTAGGGCGCATACTGTCCATCCGCTACACTTTTGCATTCCCTTTAGTCAACATGTTATCAATTAACGGTAACATAATACAATTTTCGAATTGATTAAATCGATTCAGAAAAATTCAAGTCTGCATCGTCACGATGTGTACAATTTTTTAAAACGGTGCACGTTAGCGTCTGCCACCGTGAGGGTTCTGCGACTGCGCGAAGACTGCACTGGACTGATGCGTGAGCTCAATTCAGTACAGTACTGTAATGTGTAATGTGTAATTTCAGTAATATATTTCTAACATTTACCTTGTGTTTAGAAACAGTTCTCAGAATTACTCAAAAACATATATAAAGAAAAAAATAAAGGAATATTATCGACAAATATTTAAATGTATTATTTTTTTTGCCTAATACAAAAGAAATGCTAATGGACCTTTTTCACAGGACTGTTATTACGTGTTTAACTGTCATCAAAATCGTAATATTCTTTAAAGTTTTTAAAAACGTATGAACATTTATATGTATTTACTTATGTATAATATTATCTTTGCATCAAATTACCAAAAACGAATTACTGCTGGCTGCTGTTATCAGTCTCTAATATTTTTTTTTTTCTGAAAGTCTTAATAAAACGATCGTGGAGTTTTTCTTTTATTATTTCAGCATATGGAATTGTATAATTTGCTGTACTCTCCCATTAACTGTGGTCTAAGTTCACCCAACAATGACGACTTCCAGAGAAATCTGGAAATGTAATGTGTATTTATACAGGGCATTTATCATGTATGGCCATACACCTAAAGCACTTCACAATCATGAGGGGGGTAGGGTGTGCAGCATCTACTTGGATGATGTGACGGCAGCCATAGGACAACAGCGCCAGTGCGCTCACCACACACCAGCTATTAGTGGAGTGGAGAGACAGTGATAGAATCAATTCGGTGGATGGGGATTATTGGGAGGCCATGATGGTTAAGGGCCGATGGAGGGAATTTGGCCAGGACACTGGGCTAAAACCCCTGCTCTTTACGAGAAGTGCCATGGGATTTTAATGACCACAGAGAGTCAGACCCTAGGTTTAACATCTCACCTGAAATATGCTATAGTGTCTCCTTCACTATACTGGGGCATTAGGACCCACAAAGACCACAGGTTAAGCACCCCCTGCTGGCCTTACTAGCTCTGCTTCCAATAGCAGCCTAGTTTTCCCCTGTGGTCTCTCATCCAGGTACTGACCTGGCTAAGCTTTGCTTAGCTTCATCGAGTAACCTCTCTTGGTGATTTGGCTATGAAAAGGGTCTACTATAAGTTTAATTTGAGATGAACTAATCCTTTAAAATTACGTTCATAAATGGTACATTGTGCAAACAAATTAGAATATGAGCACTATTTTCAAACTGAATCAGGTTTTGTATGTGTGCATCTTCAATAATGAATTTATTTGTCAAACGTTTGTCTTCTAAATCAGTTCAGATTCCAACCTACTGTATGACTAAACTGTCCATATTTTTCTGTCAGAAGGCTCTGTTTGAAAAACAATCAAGAACTTGTGTTTGCAACCACATTTAGATGTTAGCTTTCAGGCGAATCAAAACAACCAAAAACGTTACGTTTGTTTGAAGTTATATCCGCGACAAAACCACTTGCCTGAAAGTTTCCCAGCACCATAGGGGGTAAAATAAGCAGACACAACTGATTAATCGAGAAGCCTAAATCTGAGACACAAACAATGTGCCAGATGTTGCTCTTTTGCCAAATTCGTGCTTCTCTGTGAAGCTCTGTAGACTTTGACACGCACACACGCTTACCTTGAAGCAGTTTAAGATGTCAACCACAAAAATCTGCTTTATGTATTACATTTGAGCTCGTTTTATTCTGATTTTTCTGAGCCCCTGTTAAGACACAGTGATGTTTCTTGAGCATTTTATTGAATTAAAAAGTGTTGTGAAAATGATGGAGTGTTTAACCCACTTTCCTGCAGATATCTGGAGTCTCGGGGTCATCCTCTTCATGCTGGTGTGCGGTCAACCCCCCTTCCAGGAGGCCAATGACAGCGAGACCCTCACTATGATTATGGACTGCAAATACACTGTACCTGCCCACGTCTCAAATGCTTGCAAAGAGTAAGTCGCTGCTTTAACCTCAGCCCTAGTCGTTCATCTCTGGCATTTCCTGCAGCTTGAATGTTGACTTTTTGTCTTAAGGCTATTGAGACACAATGGCTTTATGGAGCCTTTCACCGTTCAATCATTATCTAGAAAGCCAGACACAGTACTGTTGACATGGATGTTAATAAGCCGCCTCAGACAGAATCAGGTTGACCTTCCTGGAATCTAAATATCTGTCATACTTGACTTTGCTTTTTGTCACTTGTTTTAAAAGGTAACTTTGGCTGTTTTTTTTTTTTTTCTGGCAGGCTATTAATGTGTCGTTAAAACAATTATAGTTAACTATTTATTTATGTTTCCGTATGTTAAAGACATACACAGTGGAAGTCAAACAAATTTGACTACATTTGTGGCATAGTTTGTGGCATTAACGTCAAGAATATTTAACTCTTACATTTTTTTTTCTTTCTCCAAAAACAAACCAGACAAGAGTTTTAATGTGTCAATCAAAAAGTGGCTACTATCATGTCACTTCATGGGATCACTGTACATTATAAATGCAGGGCTCAAAATTGTAACCGTTTTAGTCACATATGCTCACAAAATTTTATGCATGCAACCACAAAATATATTTGGTGGCATTTGTGCGAGTGCACAAATTGTTGCTATGCAACCTGTTTTCACCTCAAAATATTCACTGCATCAAGTTTGTTATAGTTAACGAAAATGAACGATAAAACAAAAACTAGAATTAAAAAAACATTTTCGCTAACTGAAATAAAATAAAAACAAGAGCTTTTTTAAAAACTAGAACTAATATAGGTATCAAATTGGCTACATTTAAAGGGCTTTATATTAACCCCTTTTACAAGATGTCTTTGGTGTCTCTGGAATGTGTCTGTAAAGTTTAAGCCTAAAAATGCATCAGATTATTTATTTTCATTGTCTTTACTTTACAAACATGCAGTGTTTTAAAAATGTTTTAAACCTGTTCAACTCATATTTGAGGTGCAGCTAATCACAGAGAGTTGGAAAAGATTTTTTAGTCCCAGTTTCTTTGCAAATCCTGTTCGTATACATACGTGTTAATACGGAGACATGTTAATATGTGCTGGCCAATCAATTCATTGTACAGGAAAAACAGCACTGTCATGTTACAGCTGTTTTCCTAAATGCGTCTTTGCAACTATGGCTCAAGGTTATAATAGTTTTGGATTTTTCATTAGTTTTAGTTTAGATTTTATTTCATTTTGACCTTTAGTTTTCAATTTTAGTTAGTTTCAATTATTTTTTAGTGGTAGATTTACTAGTTTTATTAATTTTTTAGAGGGGGATTTACTAGTTTTAATATTATTATTATTATTTTTTAATTGCTTAGTTTTAGTTTAGTTTTTATTAGTTTCAGTGTTAAGTTTGTTATTGTTTTTAGCTTGCTGTTTTCTTTTTTTTTCTTTTTTCTTTTTCTTTTTTTTTTTTTTTTTTTGGATGTTCGTTAGGGGCAAGAATCAAAATCATCAGAATAAATATGGTATAATAAAAACTCAACTAAGGATAGGCTACATTTTGTTTTGACACAAGAACACAACCATCTACCCATCCTTAAATTCAAATACAACAGCCCACAAGACAGCAGCCTTAAGTACAATAAGTGTGCAAGGCTGCTTATGAGGTTAGATACACAGTAGTGATGGGAAGTTTGGATCTTTAACGTGAACTGAACTTTTTTTGACAATCTTCCCTAGTTTGGACAACAAAACAAACTGTATTGTGTATATTATAGAACTAACTGAAACTAAATCATAGCAAAAACATCCTTCGTTTTCGTCTTTGTAGATGTATTTAATATATACTGAAAGCCTTTTAGAAGTAAATCTATTTACTTTGCTCTTGCAGTTTTACAGCAGGTGTTTGACCCGTGTGGCACCTCAGCGTCTGTAATCCTGATCCCCTTAGTCAGATCAAGCCGATTCTCCTCTAGTCATCCTCGCTGTTACTCCCGTGACCAAAACAACGGCTGGACATGACAGTGTCATGGTGAAACATGACCCGAGCAGACACTTAAAAATATTAAAGGGCACTTAATTTACCCCTTTTTTATGATTTAATATTAATATTATGGTTCTTTTGAGTGTGCCAGTTTAGGTTCACTTCAACACACAGTTCATATGTTTTTATTATAATGTGTTAAAAAGTGTCATGTTGGGGGCGTTTACACAGTTTGCTTTTTTAGGGGCGTGATGCTTCACAGATTCGGCTTCCCGCCCACCGTAACAAGGGGGAGGAGCCAAGAGCTTCTACGCTCTGTTTGCAACAGACAGAGAGAGAAAAGCTAAGCTAGGCTAGGATGAGCATTCAGCCGTACATGTTCGACCCGGACACAGACCAAGCAGAGAGTACAAAATCATTTGTGTCTCTGCATAGTCTCTGTGTACAAGTGCCGAGCTTGTACACCGAGACTAATAACCACACACACTGAATTATCTTTGAATGAAGCACCGAATACGCCACAACACGGGACACCAGACACTCAGTGACGCGGCAGAAACATGAAGCATCACGAATCGTCGCGCCACACATTCCAGAACTCCAAACACAAGCCTCCACCAGGGCAAACACAACGGCGCTGCGGCCGCTGACCCGAAGCTCCGCCGCGTGCACCCCGACAGAAACCCATGCCCAGAATTCTGAAATGCACGGCGCCACGCAAAAGGTACAAGCAATAATTCCGATTTCAGCGATAATGTGGAGAATATTAATCTTGTGTTGAGCCCAATGAGCTTTGCATCTAAAAATAGCAAGGGTATTCCTTTAGTGATATTGCTGACTCACATGCTGAAAATAGCAGACGTGCAACATGAAACTGAGGATATGATTGTGACGAGAGGCTGTCAATCAATATTGGTGGGCGGGGGGACCGCTCTCCTAAAGTTGTGGTCGGTCTGAAAACCTCTCCAATTGGTCTACCGCTTTTATGTTGTTAAATTGACAAAAAAAAAAATGTCTGTGTGTGTTTATATCACCCCAATATGACGGTCTATAGGGGTGTAACGATACACTCAGCTCACGATACGGTGTGTATCACGATATAATGTTCACGATTCTATATGTATCATGGTATTTGGAATAAAAATTGAAAATTAAACTGAAATGCAAATTTTACCAAGTAAACTATTTTTTATGTATTTCTTTTGTTTAAACTTGTTAAACTGAAGCTTCTTTAAGAAAATAAATTAAACAGGCCTGTCTAAGGGAAAATAAAACAATTTAAAAACTTCTTAAAAATATTATTGAAATGACAGAGACAAAATTAAGGAACAATTTACGTAAAGGTGCAAAAAAAAAAAGCTTTCTATTGAATTGAATTTAACAGTCAGAGCTTAAGGCTTTGCTTGGTCACTTGCGTTTTTTATGTGTGCAAAAAAAAAAAATCCACATTTCCAGGTATTTAATTCATATTTAATTAAATTCATTTAGAGATATCTCTAATTACAATTGTGACTAGTCAAAACTCATTTAGAGATATCTGCAAATATTTTTCAATGGAAGTCAATGGAGGAATATGACTAGTCATAGTATATTTGCCGATATCTCCAATCTGATTTCGTACTAGTACAATTGTAATTGCAGATATCTCTAATTGTCATTCTGACTAGTCGAATTATAATTATGACTAGTCAAAATAGAATTAGAGATATCTCTAAATATATTTATGGATAGTCAGAACAAAGGTTTAAATGCTAAAACGGCTTGCCATACGCGCACGTCTATCATATTCCGCCCTCTGTAGTAACAGCTCACGGTCAGCTCACGTCATGTGTGATTTTGCGGCCGCCAATACATCATTATATGAAGACAGAATGATATTTTAGGGTGAATTGTACCTTATAAATACAGTATGTGAATCTTTCAACACCATTAGGAGGTATCCATGTCGCTGTGCAAAGTATGTAAATCACTGTGAAGACTTTAAAACTTAGGATGTTTGACCCAGTATGCTTGTCAAAAAGCGGACGAGTCTAAAGCAATGACTGTACAACTGACATGTTACCAGACGTCTGATTTTGAGAGGATGGGCCATCCTCTATTTCAGCTCCACTCATCTTGGTCTGCTAACATTACTGCTGCTGCAATCTGAACTCGCGTGCGACAGCAGGTGGAACGTAGCTCACGTGCAAACAGCTCAACTAATAAGAGAAAACGGACGTCATATCGTAATCAAATCGTCATAACGCCACGATGCATATTGTGACATTTTTGCATCGCAATAAATCGTACAACGATAAATCGTTACACCCCTAACGGTCTATACACTATACTTACACACCAAACAGCTTTTGTCCAAACAGCTTAAAAAGTAGATTTTTCACCATAGGTGCCCTGTAATAACACATTTGTGCTCTATCATGGATTTTATGAATCATTCTTTTTAAGTGGATCTTCTAAGAAACTGTGAATAAAAGATCTCTTTCAACTCTTGGTGATTAGCTGCATCTCAAGGATGAGTTGAACAGGTTTAAAGACAGTAAAAATAAATAATCTGATGCATATTTTGAGCTAAAACCTCACAAAAACATTCCGGAGACCCCCAAAGACTTATCTTGCATTTTGTAAAAGGGGTCAAATAGGAGCCATTTAAATGTGGCCAATTTGACATCTGGTAGGAATTAATAATGCAGATCAATTGATAATCGTGACTCTTTTTTTTTTTAACGTGACGTGCATTTCATCACACTGAAGTTCAATGTAACGGGAGATCTGATGTGTCCTTAAGGTGCCAAAGTGCTTAGTTTACCAGGAGTCAGAGTTTGTGTTAAATGCGATAAAGCCTGCTGTGGCCAGACTGACCAAATGGTGTCAAACAACACGGTTATGTAACCGATAAGCTTCAGGCGTCTTTACAAAAGCCAGTACTAACCCTCTCTCATTCGTTCACCGTTTTTTTTTCTCCCTCTCCTGCTACTCCAAACTGTGTCATTTAGTTCACGCTGCTAGCTGTCTCTCGCGGTTTGTCCTCG